TCTCTCTCTCTCTCTCCACACTCGCAGGTGAACGTACAAGTGCTGTGGCAGCAGGAGAAGCCCGAGGTGAGTATGATTTTCCATCCTTTCTCTGCGCTTTAGCCTGGGGGAGCCCAGCCCGCCCTTCGCTCCCCAGAAAGTAAAGTTCATTCTTTCTTTCTCCTGCCAGCTGTTTGCGTGACTACATGTTCAACAGGCGCCTTCCCCGCGGGGACAATAAACCCAAGGGACTGATTTTTGAGGAGGAGGAGGCTGCCGGGCTGGTAACTGTATATTAACCCCGGAGCTTTTGTTTTAGCATCAGCCACCCGGGTTTGACGTCACCTTCGCTGGTAGCGGGAGGAGGTAGCACTTCGGTGGGAAATAACGCCGTCTCCTTTCCCCAGGGTTCTCCCCTCTCTTTCCCACGAGGGATCTCCGTCCTCCTCGGCACTTTTCTTCGAAGTTTTTTTTCACATGAGTCCTTGCCCGTAGCGGGAACCGTCTGCCGGTGGTAAGGGCCTCCTCCCGCCACCTCAGCATCCCCACCTGCGCTCCCACGCCGTGAGAGCTGTTCCCGGTGCCTTCCCGGGTGGGTGCCCCGGGAGCTGCGGGCCCCGAGCCGGGGGACAGAAAGCCCCGGCACTGCTCGGAGCGTGCCGGCCCTGCCGGCCCTGCCCGCCGCTTCCTCCGCGGGCTGGAGACCGCGCAGGGCCGCGGGACAGCCCCGCTGCAGGACACGCAGCGCTCGCTGATGCTGCGATGACTTTTCCCCTTGATCACTCTCCTTCCGTGGTTGCGAAAAGCACAATTGCAGAGCCCTCCAAATGTTCAATATTTTTCTTACACTTACATCCGTCTTCCTCTTTTTTTTTTTTTTTTTTTTTTTTTTAGTTGTTTTCGTTTTTTTTTTTTTTTTTTTTTGGACACGGAATGAGTGCTTTCCTACCCGATTTTCTGCGGGCGCAGCTGCCGCCCACTCCTTGTGATTTAGGTGTTATAACACCTTTATTTAATACAGCAGCCAAGTCAAAATATCCGATTTAATTTTATTCGCAACCACTAATTTTATTCTCCAGGGAATATTACTCGAATCATCTGATTTAATTGGGAATTCGTAGAACTCGATCAGGCACAATAAGAAACATTTAAAATATTGCTATATGTTTGTTTAACATGGGGAAAATGTTCTCCCTTTTTCCTGGCAGTTTTGTTTGCGGTATCGATGGGGTTTTTTCCAGCAAATACCTTCAATTTCCCCCCCGAGGCAACCCGCCACCAACAACAACACAGGATGGGTAACGCCGATTTCCCCCATTCCCTTGTCTTCCAGCTCTGACTTCAATTAAAGGGCTGGGTTATCCTTTCCCTTTATGGCGGGTTAAAACTATCTATTTTGGAAACTACCATGGGAAAAAAAAACAAACAACAAACAGGAAAAACAAAACAAAAAAAAAACAACCCAACCCAGGAATGAGTCAGTAATCAGCCAGTGAAACGCGGTGGTTTCTGTTCGGAGCCTCAGGCTCTCAGTAACATTGCAAAGGGCGGTGTTGAAGCTGGAACACACGACGTGCAGCATCTCTGTCCCAAGGCTGTTTCCTGGGCTCCTGCAGCACGGCCCCGCTCGCTGTGATACGCAGAGTTGGGGTGCGGTGTCCCAGAGCTGGGCACGTAAACGCCCAGTGCCTGTTTCTGCTGTTCGTCCGAAGCCAGCAGAGGACACCCCCTCGTCCAAAACACTTGGTCATGTGCTGGTTTAAAATGTTACACTCATTATCAATCCGACATCGTAAGAAAAAGGGTTTATTAAATAAAAACTTTGAAATTTCAAGAATACGTAACACAGCTCCGGAATTCAGCAAGTTCTAAGGACATTTGTCCAAATCTCCCCCGATTTCAGGGGCTCTTGACGGTTTCCCACGCCCCGCTCCTCTCCGGCCGCCCCCAGGGCCGGCAGCGGCCCCGGCAGGCGCCCGGAGCCGGAGCGGGCAGGGGGCGAAGCCGCCGCTCCCGGGAAGCGCCGTTCTTCGCCGGGGTCGCTCCAGACCCGGAGCCGAGGCCTCTTCTCGGACTCGGCACCCTGCTCCGGGCTCAGGGAGACTCTGCCTTCCCGCTTTCCAGGAGGGAAGTGACTGGAGGGGCCGCTTCCAACCGGGACCCGACTATTCCTGTGTTGCTCTTCTCTTACGAGGTGCGTTTAGAAAAGGAGAGCCCGGAATCACACTTCTCACCGGTTTGACATTTTAACAATAATAATAATTTCTCCCCTGTCCGTATTTTCCTTTGAAAACTTTCGCTGTGAACTAGACAGTGCGCACATTTCACAGATTTATTCAAACCAGCCACCCCTAAGCTGTGAGTTCGCCCGGAGCAGCAGAGGCGCGGCCAGGACTTGCCGCGGGCTCGGGGCTCTCTCCAGCTCTGTCCCGGCCTGCCAGAGCTCAGTGTGTGTGTGAGTACGGAGGAGGCAGCGGGGAGGTGGATGTTGCTCTCCCCCCACCCCTCCCTTTTTCCTCCCTTCTCTCCTACTGCAATTCATTTCTGTTTGACGAGGCACAATAAAATCTTCTTGTACATCCCTGCTCCCGTGTCTTTCTGGGGGAGGGATGTTTGCTTTAGGCACGCACAGAGCAGCCGCGCTCCCGCTGCCCGGGCGGGCGTAGAAAGAGAAATTCATTTCTCCAAACCCGCTGAAATGCGACTTTAAAGCCCCCGAGACTGGTTTCGCTCCCAGCTTGGCTCTGGGAGCAACTCCCAGCGTCAAACCACGAGAGGAACTCAGGCTTGGACCCAGCTCCCCTCGTCCTCCCAGCAGGGCTGGCCGGGCCCCGCAGGAGCAGCCCGGGCTGGCACCGGGCGCTGGGCCGGCTCCAGAGAGCGGGGCGGGCGCCCTGCCCGGGCCGGGCGGGGAAAGCCGCCGACCTCCGGAGCCACCGGGGCTAAAGCGTGCTAGGGACAACCCCACCGCGGTCAGGGCAGCCCGCGCCCTCCAGACGCGTGGAAGTCAATACTACTTCGTTACAGGGATGACCAGAGGCGCCGCGTTTCGTTGCGCGGTGCCCCGGCTGCTGCTCAGTTATCCCCGCCGGGCGTTTGACTCTGGCAGCATCCAGAAACGCCCCACGGCCCAGCGCATACGGCTGGGTCAGCCCGCTAAAACACGACAGGGGTTTAATATATTTATTCTAAAGAAGCCCCGATTTCTCCGGTGCTTCTTTCTCCCCTCACTCCCCTTGATTCACCTAAAGGCTTCCCGTTGTACGGCTGCTCCGGTGCCCAAGTTCGAGAGGGCTGCAGCAACGGTGCTGCTGCAGCTTCCCCCGGTTGCAGTAGTAAAATCTTAATTAAAAAGAGCCCGGCTATTGGTTGCCATGCGGGGGAAGGGACACGCACGCCCGCAGGCAACGCAGCCCTCGGAAGCATCCCAGAGAAATATAGTTCTTGATTAGTGTATTTTCATCTCGTTCTTAGCGGAAGACAGTTTGTAAGTACCTGCTAATGTTAGTGCTCTTTAAGGTTTCAATTGTTCTAGGGGGTTTGCCATTGACTTTTTCATTATTTACCTACTGAATCAAAGTAAGCAAATGCCATCTGTTTCCCTGCTGCTATCATCTTCACTTTTAATTATCCACCCAGCCGCCTAATAGAGATGATATTAAACTAAATCTTTTTG